TGGTCTATGCTTAATTTCATGAAGTGTGCGATTAATCGCGATTAATCACAGAAAAAGGATGTGATTAATCAGATTAAAAATTGTAATCGATTGACAGCCCTAATATATATATATAAATTATATATCTTAGGGTTATATTTAGTTTATTAATTAAATGTATTTCTATTTATATTATAATATTTTTACTAATATTATTATTTTACTTTTTTTAAACTGATTATTAATTAGTATATTAATTAGTGATCCATAAATATTATTAAAACGATGTCTTGGGGCTGTCACACCACATGATATTTTACAATCTGAACTAACTTGACCTTGTCAAAATTATTTGACTTATTTATGATGTAATTTTTTTATGAAACTTTTTTCAAACAAGCTCAAGTCTGATTAGGTTTAAAACACAATATAACTGCAAAATGCATATTATTTCAAATTGAATAAATAATTATTATTAATTGTATTATTAATTTTTTTAATGTGTTTCTCTCTCTATATATATATATATATATATTTAAACAAATATATTTATTCATAACATTTATGACTTACTTTAAAAATTAAATTAGTACAAATTAGATATTTGAAAAAAAAAGATTTATTTATTCATAAATATTATAACAAAATATTTTGGGCCACAACATGTACCTGGCTGTGTCATGAAAAGGTTAAAAAATATATATATATATATTTTCTTCATTATTTTATCAGGACAGTTGTATCACCTGACATTTTTGACGGTCCCCCAAAACTATCAAAATGAATTGTAATTTATATTTTAAAAAAATTAAAAACATTCATTACAGGAGATGTGCATTCAAGTCATTGTATGTGTGAATTTCATTTTTAATTAAGAAAAAAAAAACAATAGCTACACAGTACACACCGTTGGTGCATTTGTCAATTTTTTCTTTTTTTTTGTGATGTATTACAATTCTTGCATCACCTTAACTTCTGTGCCTAGCATCATACTTTCTTCATCTCTTTTCTCCAGATATTCCATTGCTAAAGGAAGCCTGAGTCTGTGTGCAGTCACCTCTCTCTGTCATCGCTGGCCAGGACTGTAACCCCTAAAGCTTCCCACCAAACGCTTACCCCAAGCCACCCGACAGAACGCAGCAGTAAATAAAATCTTTCAGCTGTCCCTCTGCCAACAAATCACCCGCCCCTGGGGTGGCCCCCATGGAGTCCGGCAGCTTCTTCACAGAAAGAACCTTTGACTGGATGACCCCTCAAAGGGATGCGCAAATGCTCGAGTTTAACACGTCGCACCTTTTCTTGCAGGTGCGCTAATAATCAGTTGCATTCACAGGCTTACCTCGTCACGGCGAGGGTTCACTATTTACAAAGGAATGCATTCAGGTTACGTTGTGGACCTCTGCTCCGTCAATGACTGTGACCTCTTGTGAAGGGGAGAGTTCAGCAAGGATTTGCTAAGCCAGGCCCTTTTCTCTTTAATGCTGCATGTTCTGTGCAATTTCTTTTTTCTGTTTCGTTCTACACGCATACACACAGGAGCATGGCACAATCAAAGCATGATGCATAGCCTCGTCCCTTGTGCGAGACGCAGGGTTGAACCGATTTACATTGTACTGAATTCAAATACATGCTTGCCTTTTTATCTGTCAAGAAGTACATGTGCTGTGCTGTGCACTGTGTGTGTGTGCGCGTGTGTGTGTGTGTGTGTGTGTGTGTGTGATGCCTGTGTGACATGTGGCTGTTGTGATTCGAAGAGGGCTGAAGGATCATCTAGGCTTCTTTTCCCCAAAATAGGAAACATTTTCAATACCTCCATTTTCTAATTGAGATGTTATTTAAGTAGAATGGATGTTCCTTGTCTACATGTCTGTTTGTCCAAAGTGAGGGAGATATACTTTGTGTTAGCAGCTGTGAGATTACTGTTCTCATTCAGAGAAATGATTCATGATGACTTGCTTTAAAAGCGAGTATATCTCTCACATGTTTGTGTTGCACGCACAAGTAAAAAAATATATATATATATATATATCATTTTTAATCACCTGTATGTTCTTTTTCCAAAAGGACTTTTTTTGGGGGGTGTGGACTAATTTCATTACTGGGCTATACCTTATGAGCTTTGACTCTGACTAATAATTTTTGGATTTGAGCAAGTTTAATTCACTTTTAATTAAGGAAATTAAACCGCATATATTGCATTTGAATGTTTTGCAAAGCCAGCTGCAGCATGGCTAACATTTTGAAGATGACTATCAAGGATAGGAGATCCTTTTGTTTAGTTTTCTTAATAAATAATTTCAGCCATGTGCCATTAAAATGGTATTTGTAAGGAGAATGAATCAGATATCCTGTAAGATCTCAAATAGGTTGTGCATTGTATTAATGCACTGTATAATAGCTCCAGAAAATGGCCTTGTTCTTCACTCATAATGTTCTTTTGGCAAATAGACATTTAAAAAACCAATGAATCTTTTGTTTGAGTTTGCATTTTACATCCTTGCCTATTGCCACCTTGTGTATATCCCCTGTGGTTGACTCATAATTCTGTTGGTCAACATGCATCAAATAGGCCTATGTATATTTTTGTGTCTGACTTTGGAGAGAGAGGGCAGTTTGCCTATCTGCACATCCTCAGTTTTGTGTTCCTGGCTTGTTTTTGTAAAATGATTTACTTTTTTTTTTTTCATGCAAACTGAAGGCAAAATATTACTGCTGCCTTAAAACTTGTACATTTCATCCATTTCTCACTTTGTAATCAAGTGTTTCTTCCATCTCACTGGCTTTATGGTAATTTGTCTTCAGTTTCCTTATGGCCTTACTTTTTCTTTTCTATGCATAAACATTGTCTTGTAGATTTTCAGACATAGGGTTTTACTCTTGAGGATGTGACATAAGATTATCCACCCGTACTTCCTCAGAAGAGTTTTTTTTTTTTTTTTTTGAAAAGGAAACATTAAATTTTTGGTTTTTTCAGAGGATAGTTATAAAATGGATACGTGAAAGATGCCAGATACAGGGAAAGAGGCTTGCACAACATCATTTAATGGACTGTGTGAAGTGAGTCATAAGCTTCAGAAGAAAATTGACATGAAAATACCAATAACTAGGTGCACTCAGTCAGCTCCTCTGGTGATCTGCATATAGATTGTCAACAGACAAACGCAGTAAATTGTCCCTTCGCTTCTGAACCTAAATAAGTATAATGTGTCAAGTATGTCTACGTAAGATCTCAAACAGAATGTGGGTAGATTGTAAGTATATGTAATGCCATTATTTCTCTAACCTTATGCTCTGTTCCCGTGGTCTGTTTATGTGCAAGAGAAACCTGGCCTACCTGTCACATCTTTCACTGCAGTGAATATATATCTCATGGTAGGTTTATTTTTGAAAGTCAATTTCTGTATCGGCACATATCTAACCGTCCAGACTGCAAAAAATGCTACTGAATATTTCCAGTGTTATTGCCCAAGAGAAAAGAAAACAGTGACCCACTGTGACCCAATAGCAGGCCGTGTTGTCACAATGAAACCTGCTCATTAAATAGTCTATTATTCAGCTAAATGTATACAATAAACAGTTTATATAGAACTTGATCTCAGTTTTTGAAACCAATTTTTCAAACCACTGCTAGAAAAACACACAATTCTAATTGGACTGTAAACTTTGGATAACTAATAGAAGCATGAAATTATTCTGGTTATCAGATTAACATGTTTAATGTCTTTAGTGTCTTTAATGTTTTAAATAACTTTTTTGAAAATAAAATAAAATATTGGAGAAATAATTCAGTGCAACAGTGAAACAACAAAAATGAAACAACATACATTCTGACATATACGTATGAAAGAAAATTTGATCATACTAAATTTTATAATCTTTTAGATGATTAAAAACTTTTTGGTGACAAATGGGTAAAACCCATAGTGGCATGGCT